CACCATTACTGACAACACTCAGCACTGAAACGAGGCATAGTTGCTCCTTCACATTTCACATGCACCTGTCTTGATATCACAGTCACAGCTCTACCAAACTATTCCCTCCCCCATTCAGTGACAGCTACACCTGACCAGTGCACACAGGAGGGCATGAGGACATATGTTGGTATTCCAATCTGTGAACACAACACAATGACATATTCTCTTAGTCCGTCCTCATATCTATTATGGATTCATTGTTTGTTTGTTTTTTGGGGGGAGGGTGAAAGGCTGGGAGGGAATAGTCTGACCTCTTGTACAACAGAGGCCACAGAATTTCATGCAGTTAGTGCTTTACTGAGCTGAATACCTTGTGTTTGACTAAATCCTCCTCCAGAAAGGCATCCAGTCTTGACCTGAAGACTTCAAGAGATGGAGACTCCTCCACTTCCTTTGGTAGTTTTAAACCTTTGCTCCACCCGTACTGACATATTCCCAGTGGCTCCTGCCAGCTCCAGGATTAGGGAGTGGGGGTAAAGTTAAAGTTGCATTGAAGAGGTGTTGTGTACCTTCACTCTTCACTTCCTGGCTTTCAGAGATTTAAGCTAAGCCACCGTCCATGTGGTGTAAAACTGTGGTTCTCACCCAAGGGTATGCAAAGGTCTTCCAGGGGTACATCAATTCATCTAGAGATTTGCCTAGTTTTACAACCGGATACATAAAAAGCACTTGCAAAGTCAGTACAATCTAAAATTTCACACAGACAATGACTTGTTTAGACTGCTCTATCTACTATACCAGGGGTGGCCAACCTGTGGCTCCGGAGCCACATGCAGCTCTTCAGGAATTAATATGCGGCTCCTTGTATAGGCACCGACTCCGGGGCTGGAGCTACAGGCACCAACTTTCCAATGTGCCGGGAGGTACCCACTGCTCAACCCCTGGCTCTGCCATGGGCCCTGACCCCCTCCATCCCTTCCCGCCCCGTCCTGAGCCTGCTGTGCCCTTGCTCCCCCCACCCAGCCTCCTGCATGCCACAAAACAGCTGATCGGGAGGTGCAGGGAGGGAGGGAAGGCCGCTGATCGGTGGGGTTGCTGGTGGGTGGAAGGTGCTGGGAGCGGGGTGGGGAGCTGAAGGGGGCTGCTGACATATTACTGTGGCTCTTTGGCAATGTACATTGGTAAATTCTGGGTCCTTCTCAGGCTCAGGTTGGCCACCCCTGTACTATACTATAGACTGTTCTAACTATACACTGAAATGTAAGTACAAGATTTATATCCCAATTGGTTTATTTTATAATTATATGGTAAAAATGAGAAAATCAGACATTTTTTTCAGTACTAATGTGCTGTGACACTTTTTTCAGAGTAACAGCCGTGTTAGTCTGTATCCGCAAAAAGAAGAACAGGAGTACTTGTGGCACCTTAGAGACTAATAAACGAAGAAGTGGGCTGTAGTCCACGAAAGCTTATGCTCTAATAAATTTGTTAGTCTCTAAGGTGCCACAAGTACTCCTGTTCTTCTTTTTGTGACACTTTTGTATTTTTATGTCTGATTTTGTAAGCTAGTAGTTTAAGTGAAGTGAAACTTGGGGCTATGCAAGACAAATCAGACTCCTGAAAGGGGGCCAGTAGTCTGGAAAGATTGAGAGCCACTGTTCTAGACCTTGAATGATTTTTGTTGCTCTTCTCTGGACTTTCTCCAATTTGTCCACTTCTTTCCTGAAATGTGGTGCTCAGAACTGGACACAACACTCCAGTTGACACCTAATCAGCACGGAGTAGACCCAAAGAATTACTTCTCGTGTCTTGCTTACGACACTCCTGCTAATATATCCCAGAATGATGGTTGCTTTTTTTGCAGCAGTGTTACGCTTTTGACTCATATTTAGCTTGTGATCCACTATGACCCCCAGATCCCTGTCTGCAGTCATATTTTTCCCCCAAAATATTTTCACTTATCTCACTACAGCTCAATTCCTACTCCTCCCACCTCCTCCCTTCCCAGTGGGGCCTGAGCTACTATCTCCGAGCCCTTTATATTCCTCCCAGCCACAAAATGATCCCTCCATGGCATGATAATAATTCTGCTGCTACTTCTGATTTACTTTCATCTTCCCTGTGATTTCGTTGTCCTGAGATTTCAGGGTCCTGGGCTGGAACCCAGAGAGGGTGGGCCTGGGGGTCCCCTACCTCTTCCCTGGACCATGGGGGGTGGGGGGGAAGAGTGGGTGACAAAGATAAAAGAAGCCAAGTACAAGATAGAGACAGGAGACAGGCTTGGAAGCTGTTAGACTTCCTGTTTTTAGGACTTTTCTATCAACCCAAGAAGGGGAATGAACTGAGCAGTGACCTGGCTGCACGGCTAAGCCACACAGAAGACCAGGTGGTTGTAGCCCCAAGAATGGTAAAATGGCCCGCTAGCCAAGGACAATCTTTGCAGTGCTGCACCTGGAGACAAGGAGGCGCTCTGGAGAGGAGAGACTTGACGACAAGTGTACAAACAGGAGCGTCCTATGTAAGACGTGGTCATTAATTGTCACTCTCTACTTTGGCGCAGGTGAGGCTTCAGCTGGAGTATTGCATACAATTCTGTGCGCCGCATGTTAAAAAAAGAGGTGGACAAATTGGAGAGAGTCCAGAAGAGAGCAACAAAAACAATGGAAGGGTTAAAAAAAACTGATGAGGACAGGTTAAAAAATGGGGCATGTTTAGTCTGAAGAAAAAAAGACTGGGTGGGAGGAGGAGAAAACTGATGAGTCTTCAAATATATTAAGGGTTGCTATAAGGATATGGGTCAATGGTTCTCACTGGCCAGAGAAGACAGGCCAAGAAGTAATGGGCTTCATCTGCTGCACAGCCCATTGAGGTTAGATGTTAGGAAAAGCGCTCTCATTCTAAGGGTGGGTAAGCTCTGGAATAGGCTCCCAGTGGAGGTCATGGATGCCCCATCCTTGTAGGTTTCTCAGAACAGCTGAGACAAACACCAGTCAGGGATGATCTAGGTTTCCTTGGTCCTGAGTCGGTGCATGGGGCTGGTCTAGGTGACCGCTTGAAGTCCCTTCCAGTGCTACCTTTCTAGGATTCTGCCATTCTATAACCTCCACAGGTTGGGGGATTTTCATGTTATTTTCCATTATCCCCAGAGACGACCCTGCCTGCTGATTGGGGTTAGAGGTGGAGCTGGCCTGGGGGCAGAGAGGGAAGGAGGGAAGAAGTAGGCTGGGGCCAGGAGCCACAGGCAGGAGCAGAGCCTCAGCTGGGGCTGGAGCTGCAGCTTGGGGGGGCGGGGCAGAGTGGACCTGGGGGCAGAGTGGCCACCCCCCCCCAACCTAGGGGGGGCACACCCCACAGTTTGGGGATCACTGCTCTATCTTCTCACCTCATTGTGCTGGGAAGAGGGGGGATGCCCTACCTTGCTGATTATTAATTTCCTGATTATTAATGAAGCTAGCTAATGGAGGGGGCCTTCACAACAGATTTAAAAAAAAATAATGGTCCAAAGCTGCTAAGGTGGTCTGGATGAATGGGTGGTCTTTTATTTTTGGTTAGCTACATTTGCTTTGAACCCAACCATTACTATGAATAGCTATATCTGGGCTCCAGTCTTGTTTGAGTTTTACTCAGTGCCTGGATGGACAATTGTTAATCCAGTTGATCACATCTTTTAATTGCGATTCATCATAATAATCAGCCAAATCAGAGAAATCTACTCCATCCCACGTTGTAGGCTTATGCAGAATTTTAGAATGCACCCTGTGTCTTTTATGTTTCCATCTGAATTTTAATAGCACATACTTCCATGTTTTCAAGGTCATGGCAGGGATACCAACAAGGATGCACTGAAACAAAAACAACTTTGGGAAGACAATTCCTCTGTACTGAGGCTACCTTACCTAGCCAATAAAATTCCTATTTCTTCCATTGTCCTGGGTCGTCTTATTTTATTCCACATTGGAGTGTAATTTGCCTTAGAATGATTTGTATGTTTCTCCACCATATTTATTCATAAACATTTTAAAGATTTCTTCACCCATTTAAATTTATGAAGCTGATGGCAGTTTGGTTTTGATCATTTGGGGAATATTAATTCCTAACATTTTGGATTCATCATAGTTTATTTTGAAGCCTGATAGCAACTTAAATTCCAAAATCCATTGTTCTATAACATTTAATGAGGCTTCTGGCTCCTCCCACTATAACAAGATATTATCAGCATTCAACTCTATTTTGACTTCTAGCCCAGAAGGCATTTTGATGCCCTTTACCAACTGGCTCGTTCTCATCTTTTACTGCAGATGGTTCCATTGCCATAGCAAAGGGGGGGGGGAGCAAACTATAAAAAACAGGGCACAAACCGCAAACTGGTTATAATTAATTATAATAATTAATGGAGATATCCCATCTCCTAGAACTGGAAGGGACCTTAAAAGGTCATTGAGTCCAGCCCCCTGCGTTCACTAGCAGGACCAAGTATTGATTTTGCCCCAGATCCCCAAGTGACCCCCTCAAGGATTGAACTCACAACCCTGGGTTTAGCAGGCCAATGCTCAAACCACTGAGCTATCCCTTGTGAGTGCTAAACTTATTGCACCAAGGGCAAAGTCCTCAGGCATATTAACTGCCTTAACCCGGAGTCACAGAGAGTCCCCTTGGGTATTCCAGTCTGTCTTGCCACCCTGGTGAGCATCTCTCTGCGATAAATGGCCCCAGAGATGACCCGTGCCTACTAATAGTGGGGGTCAGAATTAGGGCAGGCAGCTTCAGCAGTGCTACTGAGCATGCTCAGTCTGTGAGAGCATCCTCAGTACAAGCCAAGCAGCAAATCTGGGGAGGGGGCACATGACCCCACATGCTCGCTTCCCCCCTCCCCCATGCATCTCCTCTGAGTGGTCTCTTACACCAAGAATCACAGCAATATTCAGATTAGCCCTGATCCTGAACGACCAGTCTCTTATCCCAGGTCAATTACACTTTAGGTCTTATACCAAAGTCAACTTTTGTAGCTAATCCTATAGTAAACTATATGAAGGTTTATTAACTAGGCAAAAGAAGTCAGAGAGTTACTTACAAGGTTAAAGCAAGCAAACACAGATGCACGAATGAGTTACACAGTCTTCAGTTTCTGCCATATTTCTCCTTTAGGACTAACCCACACTAAGCAACTGGGGATCTCTCACTTATGTCTAGAAACACCTTGCTCCCCCCAAGAATCCAAGCATCATCGAGATCCATAGTTCCTTTTGTTTGGGGTATTTATCCCCCTCCTGCCATGTGTTCTGAGCTTTAAACTCAGCTGATGGGATGAGTCCATGCGCAGAACTCATCTTCATGGGGATGAGAGTGGAACAACAAGTATTTTGTCCTTTCGTTCATGGCTTCTCAATTCAGATGTAGAGTTTCCAGTTGTAAGATCCAACCATAGCCCTTCTGGCTATAGGGGGGCTGGGGAAGGGGGAACAATTTCTGTAGAAGAGCAGCCCTTCACACTAATTAATATCCCTCTCCTGTATGGTGATTCGTACAGTCACAGAGGCTCACACGATGCACACTCAACATATTACAACATGGAACAGATAGAACAACTAAGATTAATGCATGGCACTCAACAGAGTCTAAACATTACACACTTTCTTAGCATTCCAATATCTATTTTATCAAAAGTATCCCACAAGACAGATTCCAGTATCTCTTAGTGTCCAGTTCAGACATGGGGGACTTACCATAAGCTGGCCCCTGGCCTGCCATGATCATACCTGCCTCATATCCATATACAAATTCAAAGGAGGGAATTGATTACTATTAACCAAAGCCAACACTCAAGGAGGAATATACAGGGCAGATGAACAACAAATAAAACCGAGAACACTTAGCACTAAGGCTAAACTATTATATATTACTATAAAAATACTAAACTGTATTAAACAATATAGTTAAGATCAAATCACAAAAATCAAAGAGCTAATGCTACTGCATTGGACTCAAGTCATCAATTGAGCCAAATCATCAGATTAATACAGCAGATAATCAACTCTTATAAATGTTAAAACTCGAATCCAAGGAGCTGGCTGACAATCGGGGGTGAAATATGCCTTGGCTACAGACAACATGGCCTGACCCAGTTGGCATGAGACAGACTTTGGGCTAATGTCAATTAGGAAAAGTCTCCCTTAACCAAGCAGTTTCCTTGTAATATCTATTGTTAAAAACCAAATTTTGTGGGAATGTATGAACCCCAAAGGTATCAAATGTGAAAGAAAAACAAAAGGAAAAGGGGGCCCAGCACCCGTTAAAATAACTAGCTGCAAAGGTTTCAGCAGAAAAACTACCCACTGCATCACTACTCTTACAAAGAAATGTGGACAACTCATGACAGATGTCACATCCTTTGCAAATAAGAGAAGAGGGATATTCCGGGACTCTTACAGTCTAACTGGGTAAAAGGTTACATAAGAGAAAAAACTACTTAAAAGGCAAGTTATCAAACTACTTAAAGAATGTGTATCAAAATAAATTCCATTCAAAATAGAAATAATTGACATCTATACTGGGTCTGTATTCTCATATACGGTATTTTTCTTACATATTCCACCACCCCAATACTTGGAGTGAGTTTTTACTTCAGAACTCTTTAGTCTGAAGGGGGTAAATTACATCACATAAACTTTTCGGGATTATCCATCATTTACTTTATTACTAACAAAACAAAAAATATATATACACAACTCTCAGTTTTCCAATGATCACATAATTAGTCTCTTACTCTTTAACCACCATCTTTGTGTTTAATTTCATTTTCGCTGCTTACGAAAATTATCATACGTCAGTTTTCTTTTAATTCCCACTTCCACCAAGTGAACTTTTGTGTTAATTTGTCGTTTACCCCAACATAGGTTCTTCCACATCTACAAGTTCATTTAACTTTGGGTCTTCTGTCATAAGTTTTGGAGAAAAGAGCCTCGCACTATGTAGCAAGATTTATATCACGAGCAAACAACACCTGTATGCTATTTCCACACTTTCTAATCTTTCAAAGTAGCAGGAGTGGAAGAGAAATGATACCAATGCTTGAGACACAAGAACAAAACTATGAGACAAAAGAATAGCATCAGGACTCAACATTTGCGGATCCTGAAGTCTCAACTGGGAATTGGACACATTCATTCCCTAACTGTAGCCATCACTTGCACAAAAGGAAAGAATCCTTTGTATCCTTGAGGAAAGAATGTCCTCTGAAGACATCAGCTGTTTCTCTTGTTCCCTCATGAAATGCTGGATCCAAATGGAAAAGGACAATTGTTCACGATCTAACCCTGGCATCCTTTGGGACTAATAAGTGACACTGAACTAGGAAATGGTGTTCCAAAACAATTTGACTTGTGCACTGTTCACCATAGCTTGCTTACTTTGTGATACAAGCCAACAATTGGCTGCCTGCTATTTCTACCTGAGCTCTTGCCAAATCCTTGGTCTTGGTCAAGGTTAATTTACACCCCAAATCTCAAGAGTGTTAGTGAGGAATGGCTTCTCCCCAGCATGCTCAATTTCTTTCTTTAATCTGGTGGCACAGGTCTAAATTAGGGACTGGATACAAACCTGGATCTGAATTTCTGTAAGACAGTAGAGGTGGGATTTCTATTTGAAAACAGTTGTTTTTCCTGCAGCTACATCACATTCGACACTTAATTCGTTTTATACACATTTACAGCACATACAAGGGGCGAGTTCAACAAAAACACCACGTCTATTTCTCCACATTTGCATAGTTAGGGACAGTATTTCCCAAATCACAGGAGATACCTTCAGGAGTAACCTCCTGTCGGGCCTGGGTCACACATGCTTGGGGGGAGGGGGGCGGGGGGGGGAAATACATGGGCATTTTTGCCCAGTTGAAAGTCACGTACTATGAAATTGTCTCCCTGGATCATCTGAGATAATATTAACCTAAAGAACTGAATGGCACTGTGATCGTAGGCAGTTATTTTAGTTAGTTGCACAGTTTGGGGTCTGCTGTTGCTCACCATTTCAGACTGGAGACTTAAAAACACTCCTATTGCTCTGTTAGCATGCCAAATAGCCTGGAGTATTCTCTCCTGTTGACTGAATTGCACTTGAATTTCCTCTGTGTCATAATGGAGAGGTGGGAGGAAAGCAAAAATATACTAAGAAATGGCTATTTTAGCAAATGGTCATTTATCTCAAAGTCCCCAATAAATCTGAGCTATGTCCTGTCAAACTAAACTAATATCCAGTTGTGTGACCAAAGGGCCTCCAAACATGAGAGAAAATCCCACCTCACAGAGAAGTCATGAGACACATTCAGGGTCATGTAACATGAAATTCCACAGCAGGTTACATCTGATAACTCAGAGGCAGGACCACTGATTCTCCCATCATATTCACAGAGTCATTCAAACCTCCTTCATTCACCACTGTCTCATTAGTGAGTTGTGTTATTTACAAAAGCTTTAGCATCATCAGGAAAGGGGGGGGGGGCGAAGGGGCGCAAAACCAGCCAACTTTCCCATCTGTGAACAATCCCAACTCAGTAGGAAAAAGACCAAAAGTGGCTTTGCCAATAGATTAAAACTGGACTGAAACTCAGTATGATCACAGTGTTTGGGATCCATTGAATTCCCCTTCCAGTCCCGTGACACTTTCGTCTCCAGCCCCAATGAGTCTGATTTAGGATCAAAGAAATCAAAGCACCATTCTGAAGCACAGAAAACTGAGGCCGCCGCATCACATGACTCTAGGATGTGGAGGGGTAGAATGTGAAGACGAGACCTTCTATCTTAGCTGTGCGGAGAGTAATGCTGCTGGGTTGATGGGGAAGGAGGGGATCTCTCTGACTCTCCCCATCTTCTTCAGGCATCACAGTGGCAGAAAAGACACTTTTTTCCCCACCTGTGTTCCTGCTTTTTATTTTATTGAAATACATTTTAAATGAGAAAAATGGTTAAAAAAAAAGAAAAAGGATATAACTGCTCTTCAGCACATCCTAGGGCAATGTGAGAACAAAAGAGAATGAGACAATTTATCCTCACAGCGGAACTTGATGACTCTTACAACTGCTTTGCAAAGGGAGGAACAATATAAATGTGATGCTCTTGGCTTTTTTAGACTATGAAAAGCTATAAAAGATGAGGTCAACTCATGAGGAAATAGGCTAGCTAACCACACCCACTCCTGAAAGAGTAGCTGTCTTTTTCCATTGGGATAGCTAACATGAGCTAGCTAACTGCATGGGAAAAACCTAGTGGAGATGAGGCCCACATAGATTGTGCTTCAATGTAGCTAATCAAGGTCATCCTTATCTCCCTCACCTTGGCTGATGGACATTCCCGGCAAGAGAGACACACTCTCCCATGACTCATAGGAGTTGATAGAGAGGACCACTGTGTTCATCCCAAAGAAGGGCAAACAGCAAAACAGAAAAGTGGACAACTCACCTGGGGAGGTGAGAGACCACAGTAAAGATAATTCTGCCAATATCCTTAAAGATCATTAGGTGGGAATTAACAAAAGCATTAATGCAAAAACAAAACAAAACAAACAAACAAACAAAAACCCAACAACTTTTGTCAGGCTTTGAAAAGGTTTTTAAGGTGTTTCTCTCATGTGTAATAAGGTGTGAGCTCAGTGTGGAGGTTTTCCCATATAAAGCATTCATAGGGTCTTGCATCTTTGTGGATTCTCTGATGTGCATTAAGGTTTGATCTCCGCGTGAAGGTCTTCCTGCACTCACAGCACTCATAGGGTCTCTCTCCAGTGTGGATCCTCTGATGTTTAATAAGGTTCGAGCTCTGACTGAAGTTTTTCCCGCACTCACAACACTCATAGGGTCTCTCCCCCGTGTGGATTCTCTGATGCGTGATAAGGTCTGAGCGGTACCGGAAGGTCTTCCCACACTCACAGCATTCATAGGGTCTTTCTCCAGTGTGCATTCTCTGATGTCTAGTTAGGTGTGAGCTGTGAGTGAAGGTTTTCCCGCACTCTCCGCATTCATAGGGGCGCTCTCCTGTATGGATCCTCTGATGTTTAATAAGGTTTGAACTCAAACTGAAGGTCTTTCCGCACTCAGTGCATTTATAGGGTCTCTCTCCTGTTGAGATTCTCTGCTGGGCTGTGCTTTCCTTGAAGTTGTTGTGAGTTTCCTGACAATTAGGGGATTTACCCACTTTCTCCCCTGGTTGGCTTTCCTGCTGTCTCTCTGGCCTATGCCAACTCTCACAGGCTTTTCCCTGCACATGAAGCCTGGATACATTCCCTTGGGAGCCTTGTAGTAATCCCCCATGTGGTTCCACTTGCTCAGCATGTTCCTGGTGAGGATTCTGCTCCATATTCTCACTCAGCATCCCATCACCTGCTGGGATAGAGAAAGAAACCTCAAGACGAGTCTACGCTACAAAATTAAGTCAACCTAAGTTCTGTCAACGTACATCCACCGCAGTAATTAAATTGCTTTTGCATGTCCACGCTACACTCCTTGCGTCGGCAGTGAGCGTCCTCACCAGGAGCGCTTGCACTGACTTAACAGCCAGCGTGGGGCATTGTGGGATGGCTTCTAAAAGGCAGCAACAGTCGATGCAAGCAATGCAGTGTCTACACTGGCACTGCATCGATATAATTACATCGACTTAAGCACCATGCCTCTCGCGAAGGGGGAATTATTACAACATAAGAAAGGCCACACTGGGTCAAACCAAAGGTCCATCTAGCCCAGTATCCTGTCTTCTGACAGTGGCCAATGCCAGGTGCCCCAGAGGGAATGAACAGAACAGGTAAACATCAAGTATCAGAGGGGTAGCCGTGTTAGTCTGAATCTGTAAAAAGCAACAGAGGGTCCTGTGGCACCTTTAAGACTAATAGAAGTATTGGGAGCATAAGCTTTCGTGGGTAAGAACCTCACTTCTTCAGATGCAAGGTAAACATCAAGTGATCCATCCCCTGTTGCCCATTCCCAGCTTTTGGCAAACAGAGGCTAGAGACACCATCCCTGCCCATCCTGACTAATAGCCATTGATGGACCTATTCTCCATGAGTTTATCTAGTTCTTTTTTGAACCCTGTTATAGTCTTGGGCTCCTCAACATGCTTTGGCAAAGAGTTCCCCAGGTTGACTGTGCGTTGTGTGAAGAAATACTTCCTTCTGTTTGTTTTAAACCTGCTGCCCATTAATTTCATTTGGTGACCCCTAGGTCTTGTGTTATGAGAAGGAGTAAACAACATTTCTGATCTACTTTCTCCACACCAGTCATGATTTTATAGGCCTCTCTCATATCCCCCCTTAGTCATCATTTTTCCAAGATGAAAAGTTCCAGTCTTTTTAAGCTCTCCTCATACAGAAGCCGTTCCATACCCCTCATCATTTTTGTTGCCCTTTTCTGTACCTTTTCCAATTCCAACATATCTTTTTTGAGATGGAGCGACTACATCTGCACGCAGTGTTCAAGATGTGGATGTACCATGGATTTATATAGAGGCAATAGGATATTTTCTGTCTTATTAGCTATCCCTTTCTTAATGATGCCGAACATTCTGTTCGCTTTTTTGACGCCGCTGCACATTGAGTGGATGTTTTCAGAGAACTACCCACTATGACTCCAAGATCTCTCTTGAGTGGTAACAGCTAATTTAGACCCCATCGCTTTATATGTATAGTTGGGATTATTTAAGTCATTTAAGTTGGCTCAGTGGGGTGAGAGCTGCATTTTAGCACAGACACTTTCAGAGTTAGGTTGACATGAGGCAGCTTACACCAACCTAACTCTGTTGTGTAGACCAGGGCACAGAAACAGGGATGGAAAATGAGAGAGTTAAGCAAAATAAGCTGGAGAGACAGAAAAAAAAATAACCAGGAACTGAATTTCCCCAAACTCTTCCCCATAGGAGACAGAGAAGGGGATGAAGTCTGCCTCCATCCCATCCAAACATTCAGGGGAGGGGAGACCAGGGAGGGAGCTACTGCCAGGTGAAAG